AATTACTTAAAATTTAGTTAAAATTATTAAGAATTACTAAGAATTTATTTAAGATTCAATTAGAATTGGTAGGATCTGATTGTTATATTTTCTATTTACCTTCCATGGTCAGGTGTCTAGTACATTTTCAAGGAAGAATTCACATTATATAACAATGTATATAACAATAGTGACCTTTCTTTTAAAGCATGCCTGAAAGCTCTTACACCTATCAATAATGGTTTGATTATATTAGATTTATGGATTTTTACTTTAATAATAAAATTATGGATTAAACTATAGAAAAAATCAAGGTTATAAGAAATTCAATCTATTTAAGGATTATATTTTTTTAACCATAATAATTTTAAAATAATTGAATTAAAAGGAGATCTAATCATATTAAATATCATTAAGCTATTATGATTATTAATTGCTATATTTTTAAAAAAAAATCATAGATAACATCTCCAAAAGATAAGAATTGACCACCTATGATTTTTACATGTATGGATTTAGTTTTCTTGAGTAAAGATACTTAGTATTTTTAACACAATCTTTATCTATAAAATAAGCTAAGACTTTTGGATCTAATAAAGGAAAGATCTTGTGATATTTTGGTCATAAATAAACTTCTATTATAAAATAAGATAAGAGATCGAAAGAAAAAATAAGACCTTATTAAATGTTATACAAGATTCTAATTGCATGGTTATCAAAGGCATGAATCTTAAAGAACCAAAAATTCAATATATTCTTAGGTAATTAAAAAAAATAGATATTCACTTAAAAATAATATAGTATTGAAATTAGAATGGCTATTGACAAAGACAAAAAATCTTGAAAGTCTTGTAACAAGAAAAAAAAAAACTAAAAAAATATTGACGAGAGTGAAGAACGCTTCATTCTTCCTGATATATATTATCTAGTTAGAAGCTATGTGGCAATATTCCATAGGATCTTCAACATATGTTTAATTTGTAAGACACGTATTTTAACTTGCAAAGCAAGTTTTCTATATATATATATGACATTATTAGCTTGTACCACAAACAATCAACACATGCCACACAGGGCTAACTTGTTGGCTAAGTTTCTAATCTATCAATCACTAATAGATATGTATGAATGTGAAATCCCATTTATAAGCTTTTAGAAAGCTTTTCTGTAAGATATTATTAAATTAATATATTTTTATCTATTTATAATATCCATATAATTATTAAAATAAATATGTATGTCCATGACAATGGTCCCTATTGTAGCCAAAGAAACTCATTTTTTAACACGTTATTCTTTTTGGCAACGGTACTCCTTATTTTATAATTATATTATTTTTTTAGATAATTTTGAGTAATGTGCTTAGGTTCTCTACAATAAAAGCATAATTCTTCTTAACAATATTAAATCTTTTCTTGTTCATTAAGAATTTTGAAATATAATGTCTCAATTTTTATAGGTTGTGGCCTTAATAAATAAGCTTTTGGAAACTTAGAAGTTGTCTCTATTACTTGATTTATACACTTTCAATCAAACCTTTCTTATTGATATCTTTTAAAAAGTCTATTGTCACATGTAATGGCTTGAGCAATAAATTGCTCCAATGAATTGCTATTGATATTGTGAATAATAAATTTTTGATATTACCTTTTAATCCATATTGAAGTTGATTGATAAAGGCTTTGTCATTCTAATCCACATCTATGAAGGAAAAAAACTCAATAAAGGTAAATAAATAAGTGAGAATTTTTTTAAAGAAAGATGATAAAATAAAAATAATATATATATATATATAAAATAAAATGGCTATTACCAAAAGATAAGAAAATCAAAAATCCTTGAAACTAGACTAAAAGCAAAAAAAGAATTGACAAGAATAAAGAAGGCTTTACTCTTACCTCTATATTTATTATCTACCTAAAAGCTATATAATAATATTCTATAGGATTTCTAACACATGTCCAATTTGTCAGACATATGTCTCAATTTACAAGGCAAGTTTCCTATGTGTGTGTCACATTGTTAGCTTTTACCACAAGCTATCAATACATGTGACATGTGACTAATTTATTGGCCAAGTTTCTAATCTATCAATGATCTATAGACATGTATAAAATGATATTTATGAAGCTTCTAAGAAGCTTATCTAGAAGATATTATGAAACTAATTTATTTTTATCTACTTCTATCTATTCATATCATTTAAATAAGTATTAGAATAAATATGTATAAGTGTACATTTACATTCAACTTGAATAAATCCATGAAGATATTAGAAAAGATGCCACTTTAGATAAAGCTTCACTTATTATAGAAATTCTTAAAACTTTGATCTTATTCCATCAAATTTCTCCAACATATTTATCTTTGCTTCTTTTATACTTATAATAGCAAAACTTCTTAGATTCAATTGTAAATTTGATCTACTTATTTTTTAAAATTGCTTAACTTCTTAGTATAGACTTTGAACTTCATTGTTAAATTCTTCTATAGATATAGGAATAGTACCTCTAAGGTTGACATTAAAAATATGTGAGATTTTTAATCCAACAATGTAACCAAGCTTGTAAAGATATGCAATAGTGTAAATCTATTCTCACTTTTGTTAAGAATGGCATCTATAATTTTTTCCTTCCATGGACAATTCAAATTAATCCACAAATAAAATTAGAAGAGGATAATTTACAATCTCTAATACCAAATGAAATTTTTTACAAAAAAAAGATAGTCTACTTTATTTTATAAAAAAATGATATTAAAAAAATAAAATATTAGTTTAAAAATAGATAGTCTATATCCTTTAAAATACAAAAATAGAAGTGAAGTAATTCATTCACTTCTAAAATAAAACAAAAACTATAAATTAAAACTCTTGTCAAATTGTTAAGAACATAAATTTTAAAGACATAATATCAAATGGTTAATACTATCAAAGACATGAATATTAAAGAATCAAATGGTCAAGAAACTTTTGTGTTACTAAAAAAAAAGAGTAAATAATCACTTAAAGATGGTATACTATTGAAGTAGAATGGCTACTAACAAAGACAAGAAAACTAAAGTCTCTTGAAATAAGACTAAAAATAAAAAAAAGTGTTGGTAAGAGTGAAAAAGACTTTATTCTTGCCTCCATATATACTATCTAATTAGGAGCTATGTAGCCACATTCTATAGGACCTCCAACACATTTCTAACTTATAAGACATGTGTCTAACTTGCAAGATAAGTTTCCTATATGTGTGCCACATGATTTGCTTGTACTACAAGCTATCAATATGTGTGACACGTGGCTAACCTGTTGGCTAAGTTTTTACCTTACCAATCAATTACTAACACATATAAAGTCAAATTTGCATCTATAATGCTTATAAGAAGCTTCGGCACAAGATATTATCAAATCTGCTTATATATATCCTCTACCTAATACTTTTTATTTAGGTAAATATGTATATCCATAATATATAGCAATTTAATATAAGATGACTTTTAAAGCAATAAAAGAGATATATTACCATTTGACTTGCAACCTTTTAAAATAAAATCCTATTACATAATTTTATATTAGATGCAACATAAACTCTTACTTTTTATATACTAATTTAATATTAATAAGAGAAACAATGTAAAAATAATGGTAAAAAATAAAAATAAAATAAAATAAAATTCTTACAAATTAATTTTTAATGACATCAATATAAGAGTTTTTTTAAAAAAAATTAATTAAGTCTTTTTTATTTTTTATTTTACTTATAAAAATACCATTATTAATATAAATATTAATTTTTTTTAATAATTTTATTAAAGTAATATAATTTTTTACTTATATTAGATTTAATCAAGAACCTTCTAATATCTTTTTTCTACAAGAATATAAATTAAGTAGCATAATCAAGGCTAAATATAGAGATGATTTGTAAGAAAAAGAATTTTGTCATATATTAGAAGCTAATTTGTCTTATAAACAAATAAAAGAATAAGAAAAGATAACATATATATATATCAATTGGTTCAAAATTTATAAATATGATAATATTATTATTTATAAATAGAATTAATTATTAATTAATATATAAACAACTTTGTAATTTTTTGTAAGTCACTCATTAAAATATTAATGCAAACATTACTATTACAACCACGTTTTACATCTTTTCAAATCCAAATATAAATTGGCCAATATTAAAAAGTTTTTGGCATATTATAACATCCAAATCTTAATAGACCAATAAATATCTATGTTAATGGATAAAAAATGATAAACTTAGTCTCTTTTTAAATAAACCTTTTAATCAAGCCCTCTTATAATCAAGTATTTAAATAAATACTTAAATCAATATGTTAGGTAATTTTTCCCTATCCAACTTCATTAGATGTATGATTTGATGCAAATAACATTGCAAAGATATCAATTGTTAGGCTCATTAAAATCCATTTATAAATAAAGACGATTTTTACTTTATCTTTAATATAAAATATAAATAAATAAATAAATAAACCAAAGACAAAAAAACTTTGTTAGAAATTTAAATCCATTTGCTTGCTGAAATTAAAATACTCTTGCAAATACATATTTCATGAATTTTATTTTACTTGTACTTATTATAAAATTTCATCAATATAATTCTAAATCTTTCTAACAATACATTGACAAGTTATATATGTTTATTTAGCTACCTTATAAAACTAAAACAATGATAGTTTAACAAATAAATTTTCACCTACCCCAATTTGAAATGTTTAACAAAATTTATGGTTGAATCTCAAGGATGAAACAAAATTGTTTATTAATTTTTAGAACTTGGACCTAATTTCAATAAAATTTCTTACAAAATTTTTTCTATGCCCTGTCTACCTGAATGATGATAGCATCCTTCACGGCACGATTAATCTGGAAGTTTTCCCTCCTACACTGTAGCATTGAAATTTGTAGATAAAAGCTTGCCCAGGTTAGATAGGCAATAACATGCAGACACACATTGTAAACATGGCTCAGTCTGCCAGCATAAGCATGTCAGAAAGAGTGAAAAAATCATCCTCAGGTACACAATTCATAATATTAGCGGCAACAATATTGCATATCAAGCTAAAGATTGCTTGAATGGAAAGATTTGTCATAGCTGCTCCCTTGGACTGCAACTAGACAAAGCCATGTGCGTCTGCTTTGGATACAAGGGACATCCTAAGAATGCATCCTTCACAATGAGAAAGCTCCGTAGCATTCATGAAAATTTGGCTCAAAGGAGCATATCTAGTAAGTAGCTTCATAACGCATGTAGGTGCAAAGCTAATACGTCGTCACTTTCAGGATTGCAACATTGCAACACATGTCAATACAAAACCTTGCGGTGCGGTAGATGAGGAGCGACTACAAGTGAAATGATGCTTGTTGCGGAGGTAGCTACGCTGCTGCTCATGGCATCGGTTCCGTGAACCTCCATTCCGAGAGGTCTAGATTCTCCATTCTTGTTCGATAAACCGTTGCATCAGGACCCAGATGGTTTGCTTAAGTTGCTATAAAAGGCATAACATGGGAGAACCCTAATTAGTTCAGGTGAATTATCAGAGAATTTGCGTGCATATTTCAAATAAAATGCTTTCCCCTATTACTGACAACTGACAATGATATCCAAAAAAAATATCAATTACGACTACAATCCAGCGAAATATTTAATACAACAATTAAATATTCTAAATTTTAGGTTAGCCTTTGCATAATGCAAAAGTTGTGTAAACTTCTAGAAGAAAAAAAGGTTGCACCTGAAAGCCAATTCAGATCATGCATCTGGAGATATAATGCGTCAAACCCATCTCTTCAAGTGGGATTCCATATTCTGCCATTTTTTCTTCGTACGCCTTGATAACATCATTGTGTGCCTACCAACCAAAAGGATTGTCTTGTTTCCATATATTGACTGTACCGTACATGAGATGAAGCAAAATTCACATGGACATATTTTGCAGATACTTACCACGTTTTTTCCCAAGCACACAGACAACACGACTACCTTCAAAATTTTCCCGAGATCGTATCGCAGGGACTTGATCAGGTTATTCTTCGATTCCAAAACTTTTTCAGCACTAGAGTGAACACCTCCTTGAACTTCTCCCGTTCCAAGCTGTGCTTCCTACAAATTGACCAAAACCATGTAGACAAAAAATGAAAACGACCTCGCAATTTCTGACAGGATTATTTGATACTCAAATAACCATAATATGCAGAATATAGTTCAAAAGCTGAAGTGTACGGACACAACTTAAAGATGAACAAATTCAGTGTTTGAATATTTGACCTTCTTTTCGAGCTTCTCTCCCAGAACTTGCACCTTCCGTTGCAGAAGCATGCTTTGGAGTCCACATTTTTGCTGAACATCGTGGACGCTGCTCACGAACTTAGAAAAAATTTCATCGCGCTCCGCTTGTAGCTGTTTTGTCGTGATTTTAGCAAGAACAAACCATCAGTTGATAAGTGTAATATGCAGAGTATTACACTACCCGCACAAATCCATTCTGCCCACTGCTTGACACATTATTCTCCAAGACCGCGAAGGGTGGAGACATTTGATAAGGCAACAAAATCCAGAATTAGCAGTCATTGTGCCAAATGCGAGCGCTTGTGAGATACAACGAGATACTGAAGAGAACAATCCTGGGACTGTGAAGTGGCAGATGCTTGCAACCTATCCAATCTCATACGTGTCAAACTGATTGTCGAACGCACACTTTGACTGAGATTGCAAACGCTTAGTATTGAGTCCACTCTCATCGGATATAGGTTACAAATGAACGCATCATCTCATCAAACCACCAGCGGGATCTTCTATCGACAAGCTTGGCTACTGTGAAGTTTCATCGGTGTGAAGATCCCAGACCTCTCATCGTGTTAAGGGATGGACTTTTGTATTATATATGCACTTGGCGTGTTTGGGCTTGACACATAGGCAATCAATGTGATATGTGCACTCTGGTATTGCCAGCCATCTGTAGTGGATGAAGGTTTTAGTACATGCAAAAATTTACACGAAGTCGCCGTTTCACTGATTATCACTTAAAATGTCGTATGTGTATGTAATTGCGGAGCTGAATTCGAAACTTACTTGTTCACACCGGCTTTGGAGGACCTGGTAATCCCACTCAAGCTGCTTGAATTTTTTCGTCGATTCTTTTTGTCTCGAATTCGCTTGAGAAAGTAGTTGTTTGTCCTGCAAACAAGCTCTCCATAAGCCAAAATGAAAAGAAGTATCAGATATGAAATAGGGGGAAGGTCTCTCAACGTCATATCATACAGAATAAAATCAAGCTCAACATTCTGATTCATTATCAATGTTTCGAATTTTGGTCATACGAAATTATTGCCTTTTCATAGTTAGCCATGCCCAATCTCAAAACCTCTACTTCCTTGAGAGCCTTCTCCAGCGGTTCAGTCAGCCGCTTGTTTTCTTGTGCAATTTCATACATCAGTTTCTCGTTCGCGGCTTCTCTCATTTTCATGCCCGTCACATCTTCCTGTGATACCCAAACATTTAATCATGAGAAGAATTTAAATGAAAAGGTAGGCAATAAAGTATTAAGGAATAAGTGAGCAGGTCACGTGTAGTAAATCTGCAGAATATAATTTTCCTACCTTCAAAGTTCTGATCAAATCGAGATTGTTGTGGGTGATATCGTTGTAGTAGCATTTGATTTCAGTGAAAGCTTTCTCGTGATTTTTCATCAATTCACTCACATGTACATTCTTCCGTTCCTCAATTTCGTGAATCTCTGATTTTCGACGCAGATCCATTTCATCTCTCAGAGTCTTGATCTGCGAAAAGGTATCTTGCACAGCATTTGATCAGTCTCTAACGAGTATATCAGCACTGCAATACGTGACCTTTTTTAATGTCTTGAACTTTTATCAGCAGGTTTTGGACATGAAGGAGCTCAATTCAATGCAGGTTGGTGTTGTTACCTTGCGATCTGACTTTTGCTGAAGCTCTTTAGCATTTTGATCAAACTCTTGGCGAATCTTCGTGACCTCTTTAGCATGTTCCTGAAAACAGTTGAGAACGATTTCACTTGAAAACTTCGTACATGAAAACTTTGCACGTCATTTTACCAATAGGGAATTTTTTTATAAACATGTACCATAAGAGAAAACACACATTACCATTTTCACAGAGCGAATGATGTCTTCGTAGGACAATCCCATCTCTTTCACTTGATCCTTGAGAGCACGCTTGTCATTCCTGCAATTGGTGCCCAGAGCCTAACTGCATCAGAACCACCGAATTAGATATTAGCTACACTCTAGATTCTTGAATCTACGTCGACAACCGTATACGACTATGTTAGATGTTAGTCTTGGGTACTAAAAGGTTGTTGAAAAGCAAGGCAACTAACTTTCAGAAGTTCATAGAGCTTCACCAACTCAAGAAAAAGCTCGTAAGGAACTGGTACCTTGATCAAACATGAGAAGCACATAGGGCATCTGGCGATCCGTATATTGTAGAAAGAATGACGTTAAGACTTGTGGTGCTAAGACTTTAGGGCGAACACCCACTTACACGAGCTCTCCTTCACGCTTGCTGAATTGGTCCCGTTGCAATTTTAGAGCTTGCTCATTGTCAGTCTTTACTGTGGCTATCGCATGTTGTTGCTCGTAAAGCAGATGTTTTAATTTTTGGTTGCACAGCTGTCAGTGAGCTTAATCGTGAATTAATAAGTATTTATGCTAAAAAACACTTAATCACAAATGTCATTGTAAACACCTTTAGTCAAAGAGCGCTAAGATATGAAACATAAATCTACTTCCACACATAAGTGGTACTATCCACCTTAAAAACTAAATACAGAGTATCTATCGTCAAAGGTTCTATCAGGCTTCTCCTTGTCACTGATGTACTACGGAATAACCTTTAGTTCGAGCTGGTGGTGTTCTTCAAGCTCTTCCATAGCTCGGTCTTTGTTGCGGAATTCTGCGCGAAGTTTGTCATATTCCTCCTTTTTTATCTCCCAGAATGACGAGATCTTATCCTGAACGATGGTTCAAAATCTCATTTATCAGAACAATGTAGCTCATCTAGAACAGCAACACCAGAATTAACTCCAAGTCACAGTTAAGGGACACTTTAAGCAGGTAGAATACGTGCGCACAGTGTTGGTTATGCATCGAAATCGGCAGGGTTTGAAGAGAACATAAGGCTTCAATAGACACAGGGTCTTAATGTGTGAATGAGTTTCTGCTTTTGCAAAGCATGAAACAAGACTGGACAAAGATGATCCGTGATAAAATCGGATTATCTTGATTACTGCGTCCTTTGCCGCTTACTCTTCGCTAAATTGTAGTACATGTTTTTAGAAGGTGATAGATCTGGTTCAATTACTCTGCAATATAATGATTTGTTGGATGTGGACATGCGAATCCTAATTAATTCACCTCATCAGCGTTGCGATGCTATTAGATTGTGCAGCTTCTTTATCACCGAAATCTGACGGGTGATCCTCAGGATGTTGCTACCGATTCATCGTGAAGGTGAATCGGAACTTTGCAAAGAAGATGAACAATACAAGACCTCACTGTGCGAGAATTTTTTCGAAATTTGTTGAGCTAACATTTTGATATGAAATGATATGCGACAGCAATCTTACCCGTTCGATCATCATAAGGTTGCGCTCTTGCATCTCCTTATCTTTAGCTTCATTGAGCGCAGCAATTTTTGTCAATAGCTCTGATGGTGTTGCACCTGCAGACACTTCCTCTACCTTTTCATTCTTCCCCTTCCCTTTGCCTCCCTTCTTCGGTCCCATCGTGCCTCTCTTCTAGCCCCTTGCAACTAACTTCCAGTCCGCGTGCGGCCTCAGAAAAAAATAGTCACATTCACAACGCTCGATCAAAGCGTCTCCCGTTGTCAAAATCGCAGTTAATGAATTGAAGCTCCCTCTAATAGTTTTGTCTTTGCAACAGAGAGAGGACAGCTGACTGACGCCAGCACTCACCTACAATGAATCAGACACTGTCCAAAACTCATATCCAAACGTCGCTCGAACTCCCCAACGGGTGATTCGAAAGTTGCAGAGCGACCTGCAGACAAAGTTGTAATCAATCTTCCAAAATGTTCCGCCGCAGAACGCAACACTTAATTAGAATGCAAACCGAAAATTCTAGCGGATCAAGCACAAATAGCAACATACATGAAGGGATCGTCATGTATAGGAGCACAAAAAGACAAAAGTGCAAAACGAAGTGAAGATGGAGTGCATAACCGTTTGATATGAACAGCCACGGTTGCGATCGTCTGATTCACGGGCTGAAAGGGAAATGGAAGGCATGAAAGAGTGAAAGAGTGAGTGAGTGAGTGAGAGAGAGTGCGGGAGAGGGAGGGAGAGCGTGAGTGCGAGTAGTATCTGACTGTTCATGTGTGCTGGCATCCATGGATGTGTGTGGCATATTAACAATCCTCCTGGCATCGGACATAGGCCCTCTCTCCCTCCCTCCCTCAGACCCATCCCTTCGCCTCCCTGCCCCCCTGCTCTCCCCACCCTGCTCCGTCTCCCCCCACCCCTATGCTCGTGTGATTGTGCGCGCGCTCGCAAGTATGTTCGTTAGTAAGTCATCTCGTCTGTCCGTTCACCGTTGGATGTACAGTGCATGGAACTCCGTTCTGTTGAGATGCATTTCATCATGTACGGATTCCATCCATCCATCCATCCCGCTCCGCCAGAACCTTCCTGGTGTGGTTGTGTTTGTTCATGGATATGTCAAAGCACAAATCATTTCTGAACAACAAAAATATCAAGGTAGTGGCTAAGATCTCACAAGGACAGAGGCTATGATTGAATTTTTAAAAAGTTTTATGAATTAGGGTTTTGTGATTTTACTTTTCCACCATTTTCAAATTATAATCGAATATCTTAACTTTTGAAAAATTTGTAATAAAAAAACATGTTGCATTTTTAATTTGTATAATTCGTTGCCTTTTTTTCTAATGATTTTTTGTCGTTAAAAATACGATATTGTATTTTAATTGATCAATTCAGAGCTACTAATATGATTTTCTAAATTTTTAGATATTATATACACACACACATACATATATGTATATATGTATGTATGTATGTATGTATAGTGCAGTGGCAAATGATATAAAAACCTCAATTACTTCAAATGTATATAATACTACAATGCATATAAATTGTTTTCAAGAATGTTCTAAATCTTCCACATGTATATAAAAAAAAAATCCATACTACATGTCATTCAATAGCTGTTGAAGTAAAGATGAGTATTTTATTAAATAACCATTATATCTAGCTCCAAGGAAATTGTCATGTGCTTAAATTGCAAAGATATATTTGGCCACAGCTGCACCTGCGTTCAATAAAAATGTGCATTTTGTTCTGAAGTAAATAATATGTTGTTTAACAATTGACATAAAGTTAATTGCAGATGTAATCTTTGCAGAAGAATGTGTACCTCATGTAATGGAACCTCTACTTAAAAGATTGGTCCAAAGAGATAATGATTTTGTATCATTTCCATTCTGGTCATTGTTAAACTAAATGGAGGATAAGTTAGAAGGTAAAAGAAATTATCTTAGATAAATTACTAATGGTCAAAGGACAACAAAAAGATGAAGGAAAGTTACTAAGGTGGCGGCTAGGATTTAAAGTGGTGGCTAGGTTAAGAAGATTCTAGGATTTAGTTGGATGAAAGTAAGATGAATACTAGCCAAAATGGATGTAACCTCTACCTATAAGTAAAGGGTGTTGGAAGTGAGAGGTATCTCATTCCACACTTCTCTTGTGTCTAACCTTACTGATTTTTTCTTACTTGTGTCTTACTTATTGTATTTCTTCAATAGGTTATGGGCCTGCATACACTTTGTTGTGCTATTCAAGTAAGTTGAAGCCATTTGTTGATTGTTGCTCTTGTGTGGAATAGATCTTATAGTGTTTACTGATGTTAGAGATTGTATGATCTAATCTTGTGTTTTGACTTGTGGAGGTTCTGATTTAGACCTTACAGATCTCTTACATTAGTTTGAAGGTTCTTAACTCCTAGGATTGAGTGATTAAGACCTTATACAAAGACCTTCATAGTATCTTTGATTTTGTGGTGAGAAAGTGAATTTTATGAGTGGAAGAACTACATGGTGAGGTTGATTGGAGTTCACATACTTGTTAGAAGCTTCAAAAGTTGCTTTGGGAGTATTTGGAGTGAAGAAACATTCATTTGTTCACAAGAGGGCATTCTGAGATTTTGATAGTACAAAATTGTTATAGTGATTTTAAGCACATAGAAACTCTTTTTCTTGATATTTTTTGATAGACCTCTTCTAAGACATGGCTTCAAGTGAGGGTGAAGGTTTGACAGTGATTAAGAAGTTTAGAAGTGACAATTTCTACCATTGAAAGGTCAAAATGGAGCTTTTGTTGGCGTCTTTGGACCTTTGGGACATTCTAAATGAAAGTGAAGAGCCTCCAAGAATACATGCTGATGCTAAAGAGAGGAAGAACTTCACAAGACGTGAAAAGAAAGATTTTGGCATGATTGCCACCAATTTGGATGAAGCCAACTTTTCTCACATCATCTCTTGCAAAAGACCAGCAGAAGCATGGAAGACTCTTTGCAACATATATGAGAGCAAGAACTTGTCCTATATCATCTTCACAAGGAGAAAATTCTTCACATGTAAGATGGAAGAAGGTGAAGACCTCATGGCTCATGTCAACAAGGTAAAGGTCCGTGCTCATCAACTTACTATTATTGACAAACCTTTAGAAGAGAGTGATATTATCATGACCTTGCTTCTGAGCCTTCTCGAGTCCTACAACTACCTCATTGTGGCATTGGAATCCATCAAAGTAAAAGAACTCACAATGGATTATGTGACACCAAGACTTGCCCATGAAGTGATCAAGAGGAAAGAAAAAGAACCCCAAAGTGAAGATTCAGCTGTCTTTTCAAGGCAAGGCAAGGAGAGTCATTCCAACCAACGTGGCTATGTGAGAACTTGCTTCATTTGTAGAAAACCAGGTCACTTTGCTCAAAATTGCTACAAGGCTAAGAAAAGAGATAGAGAAAGTGCAAACAATGCTCGTAATGAATATGAAGGTAATGATTATGCATTCATGGCAAGTGAAGGTACTTCCATGGCTGCCATGTCCAAGTAGATCATTGATTCTGGTGCCACCAAGCACATGATTCCATACAAGTGTTCATTTGACACTTATGAAGAGATTTCAACAACAAATATCCTCATGGGACACAATGACATAGTACAAGCTATTGGAATAGGCTCTATTATTATAGAGATTATTGTGAAAGGCCAAACCAAGAAAATCAGATTGAAGGACGTCTTATATGTGCCAAAGATGAAGAAAAATCTCCTCTCCATGAGTAAACTTGTTTCACATGGTTGTAAAGTACAATTTGATAAGAATGGGTGTTTTGTGAAGACATTGAAAGGAGATCATATTGCAAAGGGCTTTAGAGATGGCAACCTCTACTTCATCAAGTGTAAGAAGGTAAATGGAATTGAAGTGGCGGCATTTGCTGAATTTCTTCAAGATCAAGACAAGTTTGGTATTTGGCATCGACGCCTTAGTCATTTGAATGCCAAGAGCATGAAAGAACTCCAATCCATGGTAAGTGGCTTAGATCTTGGTCATATAAGCCACAATGCTATGACACTTGCTTATGAAGGTTGTATTCAAGGCAAACAACAAAAGGCCTCATTTCCAAGTGGAGTTGCAACATGTGCAACCAAATTATTGGAAATTATCCATTCTGATGTTTGTGGACCTATGAGGATGCCATCAATAGGAGGTGTAAGGTATTTTGTCACATTCATTGATGACTTTTCAAGGAAAGTATGGATTTTCATCCTCAAAGCAAAGAGTGAGTGCTTCACAAGGTTTAAGGAGTTTAAGGCACTTGAAGAGAAGCAATGTGAATGCAAAATCAAGGTATTGTGTACAGACAATGGGGGTGAGTATATGTCAAAGCAATTCAATGATTTCTTAAAGTTGCATGGTATTGCAAGACAAACCTCCACTCCTTACACTCCACAACAAAATGGAGTTGCTAAAAGAGCAAATTGGACCATTGTGGAGATGGTAAGGAGTATGCTTCATGCACAACATCTGAGACATGAGTTTTGGGGGGAAGCAATGGTGAATATAGTATACAGAAGAAATAGGTATCCTACAAGTGCACTTACATCAATGATGCCAAAAGAAGCTTGGAGTGGGAAAAAACCTTGTATTTCTCACATGAAGACCTTTGGATGCATAGCATATGTAAAGATACCAGATTGTATGAGATCATAATTTGATGCAAAAGGTACAAAATGTGTATTTTTTGGATATTGTGAAGATACAAAGGCTTATAGGCTCATGTATTTGGAGACTAAAAATATCATCAAAAGTCGTGATGTTGAGTTTTTGGAGCACAAGAGTGCTTGTGAGTACTTGGAGATGTGTTTAAGTAGGAGTGATGGTGTGTTTGTGGACAAATCTTCAAATTCAATAAAGAAAGAAGAAGATAAAGACAATGATGGTTGTAAAGGTGGAAATGAAGATGAAGAGGCAAAGAAGGTGGATAAGAAGACCTCTACAATTGCTAAGACCAGCAATGAAGAACATGAAGATGTTGATGATGATGGTGATGAAGATTATGAACCTTTGAGTGAGAAAAGACTATCTTCAAAAGAAAAGAAGGTTGGAGGTGATCATGGAGTGCAACAAGTTGAGTCTTCTTCAAATGAAAGGAGATATCCTTTGAGAGATAGAAAACAACATGGTGAATGGTAGAAGGATCATATTTTTCTTCAAGTAAGTAAAGAACATGCCAATGTTGCATTTCTTGCTGATCCGTTGAGTTTATGTGATGCAATGAAGTCCACGGATGCTATGAAGTGGGAGAATGCTATGGAAGAAGAATACAAATCACTCATGGACAATGGAACATGGGAAATTGATTCAACTTCCATGAAATCAATTTTCAATTGGTTGTAAGTAGGTGTTTAGAACCAAAAGGGATGCAATAGGAAATATTGTGAGGTATAAAGCAAGATTGGTTGTCAAAGGCTACTCACAAGTTGTTGGTATTGATTTCAATGAGACATTTGCTCCCATGGCCAAATTCACCACCATTAGAACCATTGTGACAAATGGGGGAGCAATGGACTTGGAGATGCACCAAATGGATGTGAATATGGCTTTCTTGAATGGAGAATTGAAAGAAGACATCTACATAGATCAACCTCAAGGATTTATTGAAGAAGGCATACAACACCTTATGTGTAAGTTGAAGAAATCCTTGTATGGACTTAAGCAATCATTAAGGACATGGTACCAACGTATCGACACCTTTTTTGTGAAAGAAGGATTTGTGAGGAGTGAGGCTGATCATTCCATGTATGTGATGCAATCAAAAGCCTTCTTGTTAATTGTTATTCTTTATGTTGATGATTTGATCATTTTGACCAATACTTTAAAAAAGATGGATTGGTTGAAGATAAAGTTAGCAAAAGAATTTGAAATGAGTGATTTGGGAGAGCTCTATTATTGCTTAGGAATGGAATTTGTGAGAGATCGAACTAAGAAGATCATTACATTGAGTCAAAAGAAGTACATTAAAGAAGTATTGAAACGGTTCAACATGGAGGAGTGCAAGTCCATTGGAACACCTTTGGAGGCAAATTTGAAGTTGATGAAGCTCACAAATGAGGAATTTGCTGAAGTTGAAGAAGAAATGAAAGATGTTCCATACAAGGCAGTAGTAGGCTCACTTATGTATACAATGGTTGGTACAATGGTAGATCTTGAATATACGGTGAGTGTTGTGAGTCAATACATGTCAAAGGCTAGACCAATTCATTGGGCAACCATTAAGAGGATCTTAAGGTACTTAAAAGGTACTTTGAACTTCAAATTGTATCTTGGAGATGATAGTATTATATTGCATGGATATTATGATGCGGATTGGGCTGGAGATGCAAATAATAGAAGATCAACAATTGGATATGTATTCTCACTCTTATTATATTGCATGGATATTATACAAAATGATTTTCAACAAAGGATGGATACAAAAAAATTGTGTTTGAATTAATGACTAATGATTAAATCATATTGTTAAAATAATTATTGTGAATGCCAATATGGAAAACAATGACTATTGAAGAAACACAATAAATAAGACACAAGTAAGAAGAAATCAGCAAGGTTAGATACAAGAGAAGTTTGGAATGAGATACCTCTCACTTCCAACACTCTTTACTTATAGGTAGAGGTTACATCTATTTTAGCTAGTATTCATCTTACTTTCATCCAACTAAATCCTAGAATCCTCTTAACCTAGCCGCCACCTTGGTAACTTTCCTTCATCTTTTTGTTGCCTTTTGACCATTAGCAATTTATCTAAGATAATTTCTTCTACCTTCTAACTTATCCTCCATTTATTTTAACACTCCCACTTTGCTATTGGTCAAAGGCTAATAAACCTATTGCCTTTGTCAATTTGTAATGTCTATCCTTCACCAATGTTTTTGTGAATAAATCAGCAAGCATGTCTTCTATTGCACAATATTTCATGTCAATTACTCCCATCTCAATCTTCATATGGGAAAGAAATACAACGAAAGTGACAGAAATGAATCTGACAACCACATAGTTTTAGATATTCTCAGGAATATAAAGGTTACAATGCATTTAAGAGTAATTGTGGTCCTTGGATCCATAACTTGTGTACTTTCGTTGCAACACAGAGAAAGTAGATTACCTTTTCGTGACAATTTGGTGGAGAAAGCACAAACAGACAAACGAAGAGAAAGAAAAAGAGAAGGGAGAAAGTAGGGGGAGGACAGAGAGAAAGAAAGGAAACGAAAGAGATAGTTGGGGGGGGGGGGGGGTCGTGATCAGCTGACTTCAATTGCGAAAGCGAGGATGACCAATTGCAGACTAAACCTGATAATGATGTGAAGCAGCTCATTGAAGAGTCTAAATGGGTGGAAATGCGAGCCCACTGGCAGCAGCTTCAACAGCTCAATTGGTCAAAGCAGCAGAATCAGCAGCAGCAAAGCGGGGCCCATCACAACCCCCCCTTCCCTTCTCCTCTCCCCTTCCCTGACGTCTCCCTTCTTCCTTCCTGCCCGCCTGCCCGCCTTGCAGCACGAAACCCAGCGGGCTGGGCTGGGCTGGCTATCCACCACCCTCTGAACATTGCCTTTCATCTCCTCCATAGCTCACGTGTCAGGCCTGGCGAATTGCGCCGTTCATTTCCGGTCTCCAGGCTGTGGCGATCCATCGACCCTTCCACGGGGAGCCTCATCGGTCCATCCACATTGTTGGGAACCGTCGCCGTCATCTCCATCGATCGATCGTCACCATCGCCCACGCCTGTCTGCCTGCACTGGCCACATTGAATCTCTAGGAGTCTCAACTATCCCTAGTTCTGGTCCTAAGCGCTTCGTGCAGCTGGTGGTCCTGTCCCGTCCAGTCGACCTTAGCCTAGCATTAGCGTAGCCCCCGATTCCCGATTCTACCTCAGGCTCGCGGTTCTTATGCCCAAGCGCCGTCGTATATCACTGTAGAGGAGGTTACCGCTTTAGTCGTGTTGTTGTTATTGATTTTTGTTTTTCTCGTTTTTTTTTTCTTTTATTTATTTATTGATATATTACTAATTATCGAACATGTAACCTCGTGCTGTGCTGCACTAGGCAATGCTGAATAGAGTTGCAGTGTCTGTAACTCAGGATGCCGATGTTGTTATGGTTTGCCATCCCCCATTGCTGCTTTTCTGGCGGGTGGGCTTGATCGTTTTACAGCTAGTCCAGCACTTCACGTCGTTGAGGCAACGTCGTCGAGGCAGCTTGCTTAATGTGAGCAAGCTGGGGGTGTGAGATCGTTCAGCTGCCGGGTTTGTGAAAGTTATCAGCAGCTTTAGGTGCTTGTCATCTTTGGTGTTTCGTTTCAAGCGCAAGGGTTCACGGTGCGGTCATGTTAGGGAGCTTGTTTTTGGATCGTGTGGTTTTTATGTGCGAGACATGTCGGTGTTAAACAGTAGAAGCGTCTTGAATGTTAGCACGGCGGTCTTAAGCCTTGCTAGAGGTTAGTTTCGATCGTCTTTAGAATCCCCAAGCGCCAGTTTATATGCCATCGTGGATGATCCTGCTGATCTCAATACCCTTAAATTCCTTCGAAGTTAGTGTCAGCACTCAACGTGCGTCATTATGAACAAGAGGCAGGACGGATGCTTGCCTCGCCGGATGTCTGCTGCCAAGTGAATCCTATTTTCAATCGAGAGCTTTAGTGTGCATCATGGTTACATTAACTTCTTTTTCCTTCTATCACGTAGGCTAGCTCATTTATTCTAGGTTCTCGTTTTCGGCCGCTACTGATCCTGATGATTTTCTTACTTGTGTTCGATGAAGTCTTGAAATTAAAGCAAAGTTGCGATTGGTTAGGTGATTTTGTGTGTTCTGAGTTGAGGTTCTTCAGCTTCTCTGAACCATCATATTGGAGAGCATTCTTTTGGGGTTTTAAGTTACTTTAATGCCGCTCCCTCAATGTGAATTGCGAGCCTATTTTGCTCCGTTATCAATCTAGATCCTTATTCTCTCTCGCAAACATTTTTCCAAAAATCAGGCCTGGAGCAATCTGCAGCTCTGAATCGTTTCCTGAGTTTCTTGTAAAATTTGAGATAAAGTCTTAAAGTCATGTGGCTCAGTTCTTTATTTGTAGCCTGTTTAGGAAAAATTTCTGGATTCCTGACTCTGCTTACAAAAACTCCATATTGAGAGAATAAGATGGTGATCTGAAATATAGGTATGATGGATCCAGAAGTATGGAGTAAGCTCCCCCAGGAGATGCTTCTGGACGTGCTAGCAAGACTCCCCTACAACCGTATCACCAAGTTCCGCGAGGTGTGCAAGAAATGGAAAGAGCTTCTCAATGCGAAGCACTTTACAGACAGGATAGTATCGATTCGAAAATCTCAAACCCCTTTGTTGGTTGTATGCGTCAAGAGGTATCATGCCATCATGGCTTATGACCCAACAATAAAGGAATGGCAAGAAATATTTATCTGGAAAAAACCCCCCAACTTCCAAATTCACTGCTTGCGTGCTGCAGGTGGGGGCTTGCTTTGCTTCAAGGGCAATCTCGGCGAAAGGAAGACCGTGGACGAGGGGGCGACGAGGCTTCTCGTTGTCAATCCCATCACTAAGTTATGGCGCATACTCCCCAGCCTGCCTTCTGGCATCAGAGCCGCAGGGTGTGTGAACTTGGTCGTCCTGGAAAATGAACCAAATCGGTTCAAGATTTTGTTCATGCAAATTCATTGTAACTTGCATCAGCGTCGCTTGGTGGGGACTCTATATGATTCTGCAGCTGATTTATGGACAACATATTGCGAGGACACGACCTTGGAGTCCGTTTACCGGAGTGTGTATGTAAACGGAACGATGCACTATATTGGGTCCGAGCGGGTTCATGAGTATGGCGCCTTAGTTAGCCGAAGACAGGGCGTCTCGTTTGATATGTACAAGAAGGCGTTTTCCAGGTTTGATGCACCATTAACCAGCGAGGTCGGCGCCAAGAAATTCATGGAGCTTCATGGCCGGCTTTCGCTAGTCACATTCTCCACGGTGGCCACTTTCTCCCCCTCGGTGCAGCAGTTCGACGAACAGTCCGGGACCTGGGTGGATGCACAGCTGCTGCCCCCAGGGATTGGTCTCGGTGTGCAAGGTTACGTCCCGCTGGGCCAGGGTTCCTATCTCTACTTCGCCGATCCGCACCGACAGTCGGAAACCGTAGTGTGCTACGATTTGTTGAATAGACAGAGGTTCCTCATTGATGAGTCTTTTCCAGACTTGCGTTCTGAAGGTTTTAAACTGTATCACCCTACTCTATGTTCGGTATAATAAGAACGCACCTTCAGTGTTGCAGGCTTGTAGCAACTCCTGTTGCTGGACGGTATTCGCGGTATGTAGTATCTTAGGTGAGAAACATGAAAGCGTAGGTATGATTACGATGTAATGAAATGGTTTAGAGGAATGGGGGTTGTATGGGGAAGAGTTGACTATGGTGCCGGCCTGACTTCGTTGGAGGTACCCAGCCACCGAAGGTCAGCCATGGAATTGGATTCTGGTCGCCTCCATGCTGGTGAGCCAGATGTGGACCTCCACACCCTTCTGCCCACCTTGATGGCTTCCTCTTTGTACCTCATTGGCTTTGCGATGGCCTCCTGTTTCCTTCATATTGTCCTTCTGCATCCAGCTTCCATTGCAGAGCACCACCTTTTCTTTGCTGGCAGTTCTCTTACTCATTTGTCCTAAAAAAGCCAATGAGAAGTTACGCCAAAGTTGTACCCAAGAAAGTTAAATATTTTTAGTGAATGATTACATCAATTAAGTAATTAGATAGTCTCAACTATATTTTTTGGTATATCTGTTTTTCTTAGTAGCCCGAGAAAGATAAGGATAACAAGTTCAAATGAGGACAATAGAATATGCATGTAGGGTAGATAGAAATAAAAATTAGACTTTTTGTAAATGTTAGTGGTTGAAATGCAGTTCTAGTTTGAATTAGGACCTTCATATGTCAACAATGGTCTCCATCTTATGCTCTTTTTGGAACTTAAGAGAACTAATAAGTAAAAATAAATTGCACACATGAGAATTCCAAAAATTGTATATTGTGATGTAAATGTATATGGATGGTAAAAAGGAGAAATAATTACTTCTTCTCTTATTTTAATTAATTAATTTTTATATTACTTATTTATATTTTAATTTTATTTCACCTTTTCTTATCTCTTTCTACTATAATCTCAATCTTTTTTACTACCCTAAGATTTGATTTTGTTACAATTATGTTGAATTATTTTTTCTATTAATTTTTTCTATTCTTTGCTAATTTTTAAAAACTTCTAATCAATTATTTCAAATTCTTGAAAGTTTGTTTTTATTTTCTTATACTTTTTATTTTATTTTATGTATTTTTCAAAATTATGTTAATTTATTTTGATTTTATTTAAAACTTTATTATATATTTTTATTTATTTATTAAAAATCTTTTTATTTCAAGCAAAAATATATTGTCATATGGTAGAATAAATATAGATAGAATAAATATAGAATAAATATAGTATAAATATATGGAATGAATTGTCATACAATAGAATAAATTCTTTCAACTAAATATTGAAATTAGTAGATTTGTACATAAAGTTATAGCTTGAGGTCAAATACTTAAGTTTTTTTTAGATTTAAATATTATTATAAAAATAATATGATTTGAAACAACTTAATTGGGAGCCATTAATAATACTATTTAAAATTATTTTATTTAATGGTTTTTTAAAATTTAATTAAATTTAAAAATATAAATAAATTATAGTACCTTGATTGGATATGGATAATTTTCCTTGTCAATATTGCTTGCATCTTATTGCAAACCAAAGATTTAGTGGTAGTTTGCAAAGGAGATGCAAAGAAGGTATTATTGCAACTTTGTAACGCATAGAAGTAATTAGATAGAAAAAAGTGGCAATTAAGATGATGTTGAAAGTAAGTGATCAATAGATGTAGTAACAACCGCATTACAAACAAATTAAGAAGTAATAGTTGTCCTATATTTGGAAGCAACAAATGTAAAAGATGGAGACAATTTTTTTGGAAGATCAAAAGAATTGTTTGAAAAAGAGTTTTTCATGGCTATAATTTAGATGCAAAAAATAAAGGATATGAAGCTAGAATGAAGAAGATATGGCTACTTGAGCCAAAACTACCAAATTTATATCTATTATTATGCTTATATATATATATATATATATATATATATATTAGAATTTTAAAGAAATACAAACGAAATCAAAAGACATGATAATTTTTTTGATTAAATATTGTATTTAAAATTTAAAGATTGTTAATTTTGGGATTTAATTGAAGATACTATAATGTATTAAAGAAAATAAACTAAAAGCTGGGAATAAAAGAAGATGCATTATAAAAGAGTTTTATTTTATATTATATCTGAAATATGACCAAACTATCTAAAAAATTGAAGATCCTTCAAATCTACAATAATATAAGGCCTTCTCACAAAATAGGATAAAATAGACTAGAACAAAACTAAATGGAATAAAATAGAATAAGACATGAAAGAAAAAACTAAGCAAACAAAAATAGAACAAAACAAATCTAAATAGAAAGATACAAAACCAAACTTTACTAAGAGAAAGAGTCAAAAGCCATATCTGACCAAATGTCCCAAAAAGGCCTTGGTTAGTCCTATTTATACCTTATCTTATTACCTTAGACCTTCTAGAATGTTTTTAGTTGGTGGACCCTACTTAAACAACCATCTTAAATTCTTTTTTTAGAAGGTTGTATGGTAGGCTCCATATAAGCAATTCCCCTAAATCTTCTCTAGAATGTTCCACAGTGGGTCCTACTTAGTCCACTAATCTAACCTCAATTCTAGAAACTTCTATGGTTTTATAAAATAGCTTTATTAAAAATATTTTTATAAAATATAATATAATTTTAGTATTTCAACAATAAAGTCTTGCCACAAAAAAATATAGTCTATTATATTTAAATTTTTTTAAACTATTATCAAATATTTATAAAGAACTTCTTTTAAATTATTGCTCTACTTATAGTATTAGCTTTCAAAGACAAATTAGAATAGAATCAAGATGTAGAAGCAATATTTTATAGTTTGAAAAGAAATTTTATTTTAATTCCTATTTTGTGGCATCCAAATTATTCCAAGCTATTTTTTTATGAAAATAGATGTAAAAAACTTTATATTATCTAAAATTTTATTTTAAATGGATAAAAATAATAAATTTCATCTAAATTACTTTTTATTTAAGAATTTAATAATTAAAAACAATCATAAATAAAAATATTTATCAATTAAAAATAATTATAAGATTTATAAAAAATAAATTCTTATTATTTTAAGTTCATAGTAAAAATGGCATTACTACCTAAAAAATACTTTTTATTTGATTGTAATTTATATCAATTATAAAAAATCTTTAGTATTTAATATTAATACGGATTTTGATAAATTACCAAATCAATTGAAGTATGTCTTTATTACAATTTATATTAAATATTATATATTTTTTTAAAAAATAATAAGGCTTATTAAATACCTTATTTAAATTTTTTTGTACCAAATACTAAGGATATGAATTACAAAAGGCCAAAAGATAAATAAAATTTTGTGTTACAAGAAAAGAATAAATAATTATTCAAAGATGATATAATAACAAACTAAAATGGCTATTGCCAAAGACAAGAAAACTAGAGACTTTTGAAATAAGGTTAAAGACTAGAAAGGTGTTGATAAGAGTGATGAATGCTTCACTCTTGCCTCCATATATACTATCTAACATAGAATTATGTGGCAATATTTTATTGGACTTCCAACATGTATCCAACTTGCAAGATAAGTTTTTTACATGTGTACCATATAGTCATCTTACACCACAAGCCACTAACATGTACAGCATTTTGCTAACTTATTGGTTAAGTTTCTAACATACCAATTAATTGCAAACATATATAAAATCAAATCTATACTTATGAAGCTTTTAAAAAGTTTCACCACAAGATATTATCAAATCTATCTATATTTATATTTTTCCTAATACTTCTTATCTAAGTAAAGAAGTATGTCTATGATACAAAAATGAGAAGAAAATGCTTATAATCAGCAATAAAATATGCTTCTAAAACCATAACTATTGTATCTTTCATTCAACAAGTCAAAAATTCTAATTGATACTACTTTTTAAAATTAAGTCTTTTAAGTATATTAATATCACTTCTTATTTGAGAAGTTAAAATTCTCTTCATAATAAATCTAAAAAATTAGATTTCATCTTTATAATAAATTTAACAAAAAAAGAATTGACATAGATAATAGGAAAGCATAAAAATAAAGACAATGATTTGATTTTTAATTTTTAGAAAAGCTTATTGAAGCATGTTTAGTACTATAATTTAAAGACCTACTATATATTTATTATTAGATAGTCCAACAATATCCATGGCTACTAAAAATTAGGTTGTAGCTATCGTAATCAATAAAAAAAATATATTAAAATAGAAAATAAAAAATAATAATATAATATTATTATACAAGTAATTATTTATTTTTAAATTTATATTATTTAAAAAATTAAGAAGGATAGATAGTAGATAATAATTATTTAAATAATAATTATAATAAGATCATGAAAATATTACTTTCTTCTAAAGGCTTGTCAACAATTGCTAGTTGGTTTGCAAGAGCCTTTACCTTATTGACATGAGCCATGAGATGTTCACCTTCTTCCATCTTGCAAGTAAAGAACTTCCTCCTTATATAGATGATGTTGGATAAGTTTTTGCTCTCATAGATGTTGCAAAGAGTCTTCCATGCTTCTGTTGGACCTTAGCAAGAGATAATGTGGGAGAAGTTGCTTCATCCACATTGGTTGCAATTAATCCAAAAGCCTTCTTTTCTGACGTTTGAACTCCTTCTTCTCCTTCATATCAACATCTTTACTTGGAACCTCTTCACTTTCATCTACAATATCCCCAAGCTCTAAAGATGCCAACCAAAGCTCCATTTTTACCTTCTAATGGTAGATATTCTCACCTCTAAACTTTTCAATAACTCTCAATCCTTCATCCTTATTTGAAGCCATGTCTAAAGAAGGATTGTATCAAAAAAAATTTTAAGAAGAAATCCTAATACGCTCAAAATCGGCAAGAAGGTTTGGCTGCCTTGAATCACAGAATCCTTCTTTGCAAACAAACTAGTGTTTTAACTCTCAAAAATACTCTCAATTTCACTTCTAAGACTTTTCACAAGTATGGTGACCTATCTTAGTATCTCAAATCTGATTTGTCACTCAAATATCTCACTTATACTCACAAATCACCTCTATATACCATAAAAGGCCTTTTAAGTACAATCAACAACTTTAGGATATAAAATTATAAAGTTAGATCACCAAATATCTATTGAAGAAAAGAAGTCTAAAAGCTACAAACACTTAGCATCAGCAAAGATTGTAGTCTAAGAGAAGTGTGGAGAAAGATGTCTCTTACTTCCAACACTCTTTACTTATAGGTGGAGTTTACATTTCAAGTATATTGATCTCATCTATAGTAACTTTCATCTTTTCAATCTAGATCTAAATCTAGATTCATCTTAATCTAGCTGCTACCTTAAAATCCTAACTACCGCCATTGTAACTTCTTTTAATCTTTTAGTACCTTTTGACTATTAGCCTCTTACTATGATTAATCTTTATGTGGTGGTAACTAAGTAAGAACTTGCTGATCTTCAATACTCCTACTTTAGTATCTTTCAAAAGGCTTTTAATCCTATTCTTTGAATCAAGTCAAGATGTCTATTCTTTACCAACGCCTTTATAAACGCATCAGCAAACAAGTCCTTTGTAGTACATTACTTCATACCTATTATTCCATCTTCAATCTTCTCTCATATGAAATGATGTTGAACATCAATGTACTTGGTCCTTGAGTGGTATTTTGGATTCTTGGCAAATGCAAGACATCCTTGATTGTCACA